GAGCTTAAATCAAAGAACTGCTGGCTGAGTGCTAGTTACTTAAACATCAGCATTTTTTGTTGAAAACCATAATTGACACAGATGTGATTTATAATGGTTCAAGACATCTTAGTAAATACAATATTTAAGGATATAACAGCTCTGTGACTCATGAAGATGTTTCATACACAAAATAGAGTATTTTATATTATCTCGCACTATCAATTTAGATTTTTAAAAATAAGAGGTTGTTAAGCCTTGCTATCATTCAAACTACACAACTGATATAAACTTATGGATGCAAAAAGATCTGAAAATGAAACAGAAAAAGATACTCTTAAAATGGGGAAGCACTTCCCTGAGCATTTAGGCATCCTATACAAATTCATTCCTGCAGGAAATTAATGACCCATAGACACCTGTGAATGCTGTGACTGGGTTTGAGATGATGAGCTACGCAAACTAGGACTGCAAATGCATCTGATTACAGACTTCAGGTCTGGAAAGGAATTTCTGTAATGAATAATTAGTTCAGCACATCACAACTTTATTCGCTCTATTCTGAAACAAGTCATCGGGGTAAATATAGGAAGTATTTGATGTTCTAATATGGAAAAAACATGGAGCATTTGCTGAAGAGAAAGTTTTGTTTCAAGTGTTATGTTTAAGCAAAAGAACTCCTTAGTACCAAAGTGATAAAACTTGCTTGCAATAATCAAAAGAATAGCAACTAAATCCATACTATTTACTAGAGGATTCTATTAAAATACAATAGCAAGAATGGAATAGTAATTAAAGGAAGAGAAAATGATCAAAAATGTCATAAAGATCTTCCTAATGTAAGAAAAATATTTCTATTTAAATATATAAAACAGCAAAACCCATTGAAGTATTTCCTGTCAGCTCTGAAAATAAAGAAAATTTTACTAAATGTTAAACAAAATGAATCTTTGTTGATTTCTTCCCCTGTGCAGAACAGGAAGATATTTATTTTTTTTCTTCACGGTAATAGTATTTTTATTATCTGGAATCAGACAATGAACAGCTAATGACTTGGAACAATGACTGATAACATAAAAGATTTGCTGGAGCCTCATAAGGTCAATAAATTCATAGGCTCATTCACCATGAAGCTGCAGTGATTGTACGTGGAATAATGCAGGCATTCAGTTCAGAATATTTATTAACTCGTGTTTTAAGCATTAATTGAGCTCATTTGTGAAGGTATTTCTGCAATTATTGTATTCAACATTGACATTAGGATGTGCACTCATTTGAGATCTTTCTTCAATAATAGCACCAAGTGTTGGATTTGAAAATTGTCTTCAAAATTAAGACAGAAAAGACAATTAAAAATGTTGTTTGCCTACCTTCATAATACCTGATCTCATTTATTATTATTATTTTTGCTATTGTGTCCATGATATATATTCTGCTAGTTCCGTTCTTGTTGCTTAATAATATGTTAAATGATGTCTGGAAAGAAAGACAGCTCAAAACCTGTGATAAGAGCTCTTATGCTGCTAGTAACATGTATACGCAAACCTTAAGTGTGAGTTTCAGGAATCCAGTGAAAGGCCTAGCTGAAGAAAGGCAAAGGAGAAATCAGACTTCTATCTGCCCCTTTGTGTCAAATACCATAAAAAAGAGAATACTAGAAGATTTGCTGTACTGTTTTCCCCTACAGCCTATCACAAAATGGCTTTATGGCATGTTAAACCATTCCTGCTGTTATCAAAACTTTACACTTTCTTTGTACTGTAGCTGAGGAGGTTGAACTGTATGGGGTAGGAACAGAAGAGAGGTAGCTTGGCTGCTTTACGGTTTATTATGGTGTCTTACATGGTTTGTTAAAATCAAATTGTTTAAGTGAAGTAAAAATAATAGTTAAAGAAAAGAAAGAATTCCTGGCTGTCCAAGAGTATCTATTAGGATCACAGGGCTTTCATACTTTTACAAAAATTCTTTTCTTTCCTTCACAGTCGTTGAAATGAGACATCAAAATGCACTTTACCACTTCACTTTCTTTAGGCCTGGATCAATTACATCATAAAAGTTCAGTCTGTATTACTGTCACTCAGTTCTGCTGATCTTCCTTAACAGGTCTATCAGTATCACTTCAGTTCCCTTTAAAACAAAAAGCAAAACGTGAAAGAGGGAGGGAAAGTCTGCAAATAACTGCTCCCAGGGCCTTGACCTCCTCCATCTATCACAACCAAAGAAGGTAGATAAGGGAGTTCCATATGAAAGTGACCATTCTAGGTCTGCATGTTAAATCAACTTGCAGATCACACTGTGACTGCTGCTGATGTGAAGGGCTGGCAGAGATCCCATGTGAACTCTGTCCTGCATGTCCATATTTTGCCTGGTGCCCTGAGATATCTGAAGACAGAAAAGATGAAAATCTTCCACAGAGTAGTCAAGTCTATATGACCAGACTCCTAGCTGATGTGCACTTGAGTTACTCTTCTGTAGTGTTATCAGGTCATAATATTTCACTTGAAATAATCCTTTGCTTGAGAAAAAAACACACTGAGGCACAGAGCCATTGGTTGAAGCACTAAAAATTCATCAGTTTTAATTTCTGGTATTACTTCAGGCTCGCATCCTAGTGTAAATTGCTAGCTCTCTGCCATTTTCAATGTAGTGGATAGTTGAATTGTGCATCCCATAAAGTAAAGACAAAATTATTAAAATGGTAAAGAAATTTATTTGATGTACAGCTCAAAACTTTCTGTACTATGTTTTTGTTATATTAAAATTATATGACCTTTACTTCAGTCACCATGCCATTAGAAAAATGAGCGAACACGCATAGAAATACAGAAGATTTCTTACCAACAAACCTTGCCACCCATAAAAAATGTCAGATTTCACATGTTTTTCTGTTGTACTCGGTTGGAGAGATCACACCTTTGGATCTGATAAATTACTTTTTGTTAGAAGAAGATAGTGGGTGGATTAAAAAATTAGAAAATTTGCATCAGAGAGTAATCTTACAGTCCAAATCCACAGCAGCAGCCCCAAAGGAATATGCAAACAGACATGTAATCTTTCAGCATGACTGCCTTCAAGCCTAATTTGAATTTGATTATTTGGTGACAGAATATATTAAAAAAAAGAGTAAAACATCGAATTTTGGGGCTGAGTACTTTGGCTTAATTCTAACAAAGCACAGAAGCTTATTAAACTTGGACTTTTTGCAAAGCTGTGCTGATTATATGCATTTACAAAATCATACACTGCCCAGCTGTTTGCTGAATTTAGTTTCTATCTATCACAAATGCACTTTTAAAGTGAACATCCCAAGCACTCCTGTTTATTGTGCTTTACTTCGCATCATGCAGCAGTATCAGAAATGGCAAAGAGGGTTACTTTGGAACTAATTATGAATTAAAGATGAATATAGATGAAGTCAATGGGCACTGAGCACACAGGAGCTGATAAGAGCCAGACTGCGTAAACACTCCTGAAATGCATGGAATGTGGATATTGTGTTCTTTAACACCAGCTATTTTCCTCTACAAGACTTCTATGGGGCTGCAGTACTTGCTAACACTGGTGTGAACCTCTGTCTTCTGAGTTAAAGCTTTGTGTTCTCAGTCTGGTTCTCCATCTTCATGGATAACAGTGGACGTTTTTCCCTTCTGGGCTACAAAACCTTCAGAGTGACCCTCAAAGAAATGTAGAAGCTAGCATGGAGTCTGGCCACATCATATGAAGTGATAAGCAAAGCCCAGCAGGGGTGAATTGTTCTTCAGAAATATGCTTATATGTTAGTGTGTAGTTATTTTTGTGGAAAAAGAACTAGAAAGGTCATGTTACATTAGTTAATGTTTCTATCAAATGCCGGTCTTGCTTGAGATTTCAAACAACAGTCTAGTAAGGAATGATTTGAAACAGCTTACAAAATCTGATATTGAAACATTTTTTGAAGTTTGTTAATAAGTAATTTTGCCCTTGTGAAGGGCTGCATGTACCTTAAGAGATCCACACAATAGCACTGTAGAAAGTAGGTGGGACTTGTAATACTGACGTTCTCAAGAAATTGCACCATGTCTTCTGATACTCCAGAAATGAGGAATGTACATTCTTGGGAACTTCTCTTAATTAATTCTTTCATTTCTAAGTGTATGTCTTATTACCAGTTTAAAAGGTACTGATTTCCCATTGCAGATTTTGCATCACAGATGATATATTTATGCAGAGTATTTGTTTTATGATTGATCACAGAATCATTGAATCGTAGAATGGCCAGGGTTGGAAGGGACCTCAAGGATCACGAATCTCCAACCCCCGTGCCACATGCAGGGCCACCAACCTCCCCATTGAATACCAGACCATCCAACCTGGCCTTGAACACCTCCAGGGATGGGGCATCACAACCTCTCTGGGCAGCTGTTCCAGCACCTCACCACTCTCTCTGTAAAGAATTTCCCCCTGACATCCAACCTAAATCTTCCCTCCCTCAACTTAAAACCATTTCCCCTTGTCCTGCTGTTATCTACTCTTTCATAGAGTTGACTCCCCTCCTGTTTGTAGGCTCCCTTTAGGTACTGAAAGGCTGCAATTAGGTCTGCTTTGCAACCTCAGAATCTATATAGTGTGTTAAGTTAGAGAAAATGGCATGGAGTGCTAATATATATGCGTGTGTGTGGACTAGGTGTTGCATTCTTTCAATATCACTATACTTTCTGAGGGTTATTAGCAAAGGTGTGAGAGTACATCCTTAATTATTTCATTCAAAATATAGGTGAACACTGTTTTTAGGTCTTTAATATTAACTTTCATTAGTATATGTAAATGTGTAGTCCTGTGGACTTAATATATGTCAATTACTTTCTATTAAGTATAGGATTTACATTTAAGATATCAAGCAAAAGACATTCGGTAGCTAACCATTCCTGCCCCAATAACACACTCAAACCAACAGGCAGAGTTTGGTTCTTAGCTGAGTTAGAAAAATACACTGTTTATGTCTAATTGCATTCTTTTCTTTTGTTGCTTTTTCTTTCTTCTAGGTTGTATGGCATCCTTGAAGACGCTACTGGTGGAATTAATCACTTCTCCATATACCAGAGCACTGACATCCTGAGTTTGTTACATCAAAGGATATTGACTGAGAAGACAAATAATCAAATGACCCGTAACGCAGGTAAATGATACTCCTGGGATCAAAGGCATCCCCTACGAATACTGTGTGCAGCTCTGGTCTGCCAGTCATAGCAAGTGTCATTTGGCTGCAATGGTTATAGTGAGGTAGCTTTTGTCAGTCCTTCAAAGTGAGGGTTTTCTAAACAAGATCTTCCTGTTTGTTTTCCTTGTTTGCTAATTCTTCATAAAATACAAAGATGAATGTTAAGTCTTAGTCGTGTATCAGTTCATATGACATACATACTTGAAGGCTAGGCTTCTGAAACACCTCCAAATGAAACAGAAGGCAGTTTATTTTGGAAATGGATTGAGGTGGCTATCTGAGAACTGGCTGGTGCAAGAAAACAGGCTGCAAGAGGTGTTACCTTTAAATCTTATCCTGAACCGAAGCCATTGGTTTTAGTCTTCTTTGAAAGTGGGTTCAGCTTAACAAGTTAAAATCACTCCTCTTCTTGTATACAAGTGCCCACACTGAAAGTTAGTGTAGAAGAACTTGGCATATAAGCCAAGAAATTAAAAGTCTACATGAGCCTTTGAAATAATAGCTATACTGTGAAAGAATCATGCTATAGCTTCTCTGATGGTGATAAAGAAGAGCTGCACTGTGGCAGCAAAATAACTTGAAATATATACATGGATGCGTGATGTAATATTTAGAAGAACAGTAAATTAGAAGTATTCAATTTGTCTAGAAGCTGATGGCTGGATCACCACGTAGTATAAATCTACATATTGTTATTGAGAATCAGAGTTATTACTGAATGATTCTCTATTAAATATCAAAACTGGAATATGTGGTACAATAATATAGAAATTTTTCCATTCAAGCAGAACTCTATAGTTGCAAGAATTTTTGATTTATCAAAAAGATTTATCAAATATTGTCTGTTAAAGTGAAACTTATGTTCACATAGTAAGAATAAATAATCTCATGTGGATTTCAACCTCTACCACATACAGATTCTATCCTGCCGCAGTGATAATCCAGTATGATTCTTTTGCAATTTTGTGCAAAATAATTGTTTAATCACATTTGTTTTCCTTCTTTTTGTTTTTTTTATATTATCTCATTAGAGTTCATGGCATAGATTTAAAACATTAGTGAGGTACTTTCCATCACTTTTTAAAATTGACTTTATCAACTAATGGTTCATTTAATTTCTGCATCTCACTGTTAATAACCCACTGAAACTTTATAAGGAGAACAAGAGTCAGCAAGAACTACAGGTACCAAGAAATGCAGAAATAGCTTGCTTTTTGGATAAAACTAAAGAACAACGGCCACTAGATATCAAAATAAGAAAAAAAAATACCATGAGCCATGAGCAGAAATTAGCTAAGTCGTCGTCTAATCAATTGTAAAACTTTGACAGAACCAGATTTACATTATATGAAAGATTTATCTACTGCCAGGATCTTTACTTGGGTTCTCTAGCCCTGGAAAACTTTACTATATGTAATAGAAGCAGTGGTATTCTGATTGGCAGGGAATGAAAGAATACTCAGGAAAAACAGAAATTACCTGCAGGAGATTTACAGCTGTTCAGGGTGCAAGATGACCTCCTCTTACTGAACACCATAAAATGTAAGAAGAATAATAACTTGGAATTGTGGATAATAATAGAACAGAGAACAGAATTTCAATCTGGTATGACTGCAGGTCATTATTAAAAGGACTTCTGCTTTACTGTGTAAATGTAGTTGCTTATTTTCTTTTCATAAAGCTGCTCCTCGCTTAGCATGCATGATACAGGCCAACGAAAACATGGATTTCTCACTTGTTGAGAATATGCATAAAGATTTTTTCATTCCGTAGTTAATTACTATGCATAACATTTTGAATACACTTTCTGTGCTGGGAGGTCAGTCAATATATTTTACATTAGTAAACAGATTGGAAAACTCACTGTAGTTTAGAATGTATGCAGAAACATGGACTGTAATTCAGAGCAAGAACTGGAAGTTTTTGTTTGATTTGGATCTTCTATGGCACATGAATTATTCAGTGCTCTTGTGTCAATGCTGAATATTTTTTTTTCCTGGATATATCTCACTAACAACATGAGTTGTTTGGCATGAGAACATTAGATGATGAACAGCATCCGTGCTCTGTAGATTGAATGGCTTCAAACAAGAGTTTCAAATGAACAGTTGAATTATCAAAAGACTAAATAATCTCCATTTGCTGTTATTTTTAAGTAAGAAGTGCCAGAATCTGCGTCCTCATCAGGATCTTCTGCTCCAGAACATCCTATAAAGATCTCATGAAATAGCAAACATCTAACAGAGTGTTTTTCTTAGAAAACCTGTTCATATATAAAGTGAGAACTCAGGTCGTGTTGTCCTCAATCCCTTCAGTAGCAGGGAAAAATATTGTGAGAAACAGGAAAAGCCACCTGAGCAACACATGGCTAGGAGGCTGGTGCAGAGGAATTTTTAAATTATTATTTTTTATCATGCAGAGATTTCTTCAGCATCAGGCCTGCTGGCAACAGATGGAATCTACCTATTTTAAAGGGGGGGAATGGATTCTAGCCTAGTAGTTGGTGGGGCTTGTTGAGGGGGGTTGTAAACTAGGTTTAGAAGGGGAAAGGATAAAAGCAAACTTGCTACAGATGAGCCTAGGGGCAGTATGTTGAGGTTGGGGGTGAGACCAATGGCCCAGCTGAAGTGAATCTACACCAGTGTACGCAGCATGGGCTGCAAACAGGAGGAACTAGAAGCCATTGTGCAACAGGAAAACTATGACTTAGTTGCCACCACTGAAACATGGTGGGATCACTCTCATGATTGGAGTGCTGCAGTGGGTGGCTACAGGCTCTTTAGAAGGGATAGACAGGGAAGGAGGGCAGGTGGGATGTCTCTCTGTGTTAGGGAGTGTTTTGATGTTGTAGAGCTCAGTGTTGGGAATGATAAGGTTGAGTCCTTATGGGTAAGGATCAGAGGGAAGGCCAATGAGGCTGACATTCTCCTCGGGAGTTTGTTATAGACTACCAAACCAGGATGAGGAGACAGATGAAGCATTTAATGAGTAGCTGGCAAAAGCCATGTGATTGCTAGCCTTTGTTCTTGTGAGGGACTTCAGTTTGCCTGGAAAAGCAGTACAGCAGAGAGAAAGCAGTCCAGGAGGCTAGGAGGATAACTTCCTGACACAGCTGGTAAGAGAGCCTTCCAGTGCCCCTCTAGAACAGTTTACAAACAGAGAAGGACTGGTGGGAGTTGTGGTGGTTGGAAGCAGTCTTGGTCATGGGGACCATAAAGTGATAAAGTTTTTGGTGAATTCAGGTGGGAATTAGCAAAACTGCTATCTTGCAGCCTCATGCAATGCTAAAGGATTGGGGGAGAGTGGCTGGCAAGCTGTACTGAGGATAAAGATCTGGGAGTATTAGTCAACAGCTGGTTGAACGTGAGCCAGCAGTGTGCCCAGGTGGCTAAGAAGGCCAGTGGCATCCAGGATTGCATCAGAAAAAGCATAGCCAGCAGGAGCAGGAATGTGATCGTCCCTCTGTACTTGGCACTAGTGAGGCAGCACCTTGAGTTCTGTGTTCAGTTTTGGGCTCCTCACGACAAGAAAGACGTTGAGGCCCTGGAGTACATCCAGAGAAGGGCAATGGAGCTGTGAAGGGTCTGGAACACAAGTTTTATGAAGTGTGGCTGAGGGAACTGGTATTGTTTCGTCTGGAAAAGAGGAGGCTCAAGGGAGACCTTATAGCTCTCTAAAACTACCAGAAGGGAGGTTGTGGGGAAAGTGGTGGTGGGGGCCAATCTCTTCTCTCAGGTCTCAGCAACAGGACGAGAGGCCTTAAGTTGCACAAGGGGGAGTTCGAGGTGGATATGAGGAACAATTTCTTCTCAGAAAGAGTGGTGAGTTATTGGAACAGGCTGTCCAGGGAGATGGTGAAGTCACTGTCCATAGAGGTATTCAAGAAGCGTGTGAATGTGGCAGTGAGGGACATGGTTTAGTGGGCATGGGTTGATGGTTGGACTTGATCATGGAGGTCCTTTGCAACCTTAATGATTCCACGATTCTATGAACTTCCAGAAAATATTTTGAAATGACAACTGAAGAGACAATTGCTTCTTTTGTCACATGTTCTTCCCTTACTGAGGTATCATCGAATTGAAGGAAATTATTAAAACAGTAGATCTTTACAATGTCACTTACCCTAATGTGTGAGTGTTTTATTCATTATATGATGCATTATACAACTTCTCTGCATGCGTACTTAAAAATTAGTTCAGTGTTTAAGCAAGGCAGAAGGTATTTAGAGTAAACACTAGATCAACTGATATTTTAAATTTTTTTTCATTTTATTTTATTTCTCCTGATTGACCGTGTTTTCAATATCAGTAACATTTAATCAGCTCTTGGGAGGTTAATGTAGTGAAAAAGATAAAACTCTACTTAGCAATGGTATGTATGATGGACGCGATAGTTTACAGCTACTTTTATTACCAAGCCATAGACTTCTTTTTTTTGCATCGAAAAAACTTGCTTTATTATTTAATCTATTAATTATGATCGATGTGGATAGATTTGGTAATATTCCTTTACTATTCATTTACAGTCAAATAATTTCTTATCAGATATTTTACTCTTACTATGCCTTTTCCTTCCGTTTCTTCTGATTTTTTTTAAAGAGGAAAATTGTGAAGCTCCTTATAAAGAGATATAAATATCATTTAATTTATTCACATGCCCATATTAGGAGAACAGAAAACAGAAATGTTCGTTCTTTCTTTTCTTTTTTCTTTCCTTTTTCTTTTTTTTTATTTTTTGAAAGTGATTTCACTGTAAGAAAGGAATTCAGTGATAGGACTAGAAAATTCTCATAACACAGCATGAGTGAGTTTAAGTTTCACTGAAGAGAATGCAGTGCTAATTGCAAAAATTGGAATGTATGAGCACAGTGTCAGTAAGAACAAAGCTCATTCCTATGAGACACATTGACTGTCGATGAAGTCTTGCACATATCACAGACATTTCCATGGACAAGACCAAGTTGGACTTTCGCTTCTTAATGATGGTCTTCTTTGAGTTTGAAATTAAATGGTACCAATGGCCTTTGCCTTCTCCAGAAGCAGAATGCAACCAATCACTTCCTAACTCAGCGAGATGAGGGAACTGCAGTATAAGCTGACTGTGAAGCGTTATCTTCAAGCTCTTGAGATCTTCCTGCTCTGCACTAAGTATCCTTTGTGGATTTCTGACCAGGGCTTCTAAAAAAGTGTTTTTAGAATTCACTACCATAAAAAGAAATTGTAATTTAGGTAGCAGGTTTCAGAGTGAATTGTTATATTTTGGTAGCACATCTTAGGAGGAAGCCAAGGAACGGTGTATCTAGTATGGGAAGAGAGCCACCAAGAGTTGTTTGGCCCTATTTCAATCCTTCATCCCACGTAACAGCAAAAGACCAAATGGATGGATTTTTGTGATTCTGAGAAACTATTGGGAGGCTCTCACTGCAGGAATACTTTCCCCATAGGGAAAGAAAGATCAATTGCATCACAGGCTTAGAAGTTCAGCAGATCTTCTGGACTTTGGGGATAAAGAGGCACTGCTTCATTAGCTATACCTGCTCTGTGAAGAAATAGAAGACTTAGGTATCAGTCAACTTCTTTTTTTTTTTTCCTTCTTTGAGACATTCTCTTAGCTTTCTGAGTATCTGAGGCCAAAACCAGTATTTGAACATAACATACTGGTTATGTTTTGAAAATATTTGCTTGGTGTTTTTCAGTCAGCTGTATCAGTTCATTAATTTTAATATAAATTAAATAGCTACTGTAATAATACTATAAAATCTCATCGTAGAAGCAGTATCTTCTGATTTTCAGTTAACAAAGGTTTTGCATTTACCTCGTTCATGACTGAAAAGTGGGGAAGAAACCAAACGTAACTTCTGAAACCAGTTTCTCCCTTTAGAATTTGGAGCAGATGTGTTCTGTGGGGGAAAAAAAAAAAAAAAGCCCTGAAAGTTTTACTGAGGCCATGAAGTGGGATTGTAAAAAGTGCTGAAACTGCTTCTTGGGTCGTGGTTCATTAACTCTAATTGTCACGTCTGGATTCCATCTGATGGATGATCAGGTCCTTCCTTTCTCACACCCTTTTTCTCACTGTGTCCAGGTGACCAGCTTCCAAGGTTATCTCTTTCAGATGTGTTTCCAGTGTTGGACCTGGGTAACAGTTCTTTCTCTAAACCAATTCAGCTGTGTTTGCATGTGTCTTTTTCTTGTTGGATTTGCTTCTTTTCCTGTATACTTCCTGTGTAGAGCATTCTTCTGTAGAGAAGAGGATCATGATTAATAAAAAGCATTTTAGATTTAGAGATTTTGTTACATAAAAGCTTTTCTACTTGACAAAACTTATTTTTGAAGGTCAGTAATTCTTACATATATTGAAAATGTAAAAGCCTTGTCAAGTACCCACTTTCTTCAGCTTTCAGGCTTGTTATGAGGGAGTGAAGAAGCAAGGTTTAAAATACCACCCACGTAAGACAACAGCCATATAATTTATAGGATGTGGCCATCTGTGTGTTTCCCAAATTCCTGTTTCTTTGTTGGAATTAATCATGTGCCAGAAGCAGAACATTAACTCTACAGGCAGTAGAAAAGATTTTGAGCAAGTGAAGAACATTTCTCCCCTTATTTCAAGAGGTTTATGACTGAAAAATATGTCATGATTGTTTGGCATCTTAAGAAAATCAGTAAATGCTTTCTGACCAATATCAAATAACATCTCTGTTTTTAGCTAAGTGTAGCTATATGAGCATAGAATTACTTATTTTCTCTACTGGAATTCAAATATTCCTCCCAAAAATCAGAACATTGAATTTATTTGGCAAGTCTTAGCCCA